TCTTTTTTTTTTTTTTTTTTTTTTTTTTTGCGCTGGGCCCTGGTTGAGGGTGGGTGTTTGCGTAGTGTGCTTCTTTTTTTGTCTGCCCTTTGATTACGTGTAACTTATTTTCGATTGCCTCCCTCTTTTTTTTTTTTTTTTTTATTTTATTTATTTGCTCCTTTATTGCCGTTTGGGTCTGTCATTGTTTTGCGAAATGCATTATTTGGGTTGGATTAGTTGTGATAACACATCCGTTCGGTGTGTCCAACTCTTTTGCATGTTAAGCATGCATGGACACGTTGGCAGTTGGTGTCGTCAGCACAGCTTTTCCAGTTCTAATTTATGCAGATTTGGCGGCCATCATGCCAACTGGTGTCTAATTTATAGTTGTATGAGTAATTACTGGGACGTTGTTTCTTTGTGGTGGTTGCATCGAAGTTTTCTCCTTCAGCCTCCATGTCACAGTCCAATAAAGATGTATTGCGGTCTATGGTAAGGTGTAATCTTCGATCTTCATCATAATTGATGACCGCTGAAAATTCTTGCTTTATATATAAGGTGTTGATGTGGTCGCGGTAGGCGTTCAGCTCTTGCTCTTTGATATCATAAATGACTAACACAGTGTCCATGTATGATTTGAATGCCATCAACCATTCTGCAATGCTGTTAAATTTGTAGGAATGGTTGTGCTTGCGAACTGAAATGATACCACCATCTATGGTTTGTAGGGTTTGTTCGTCGTCGTTGTTTTTTAGGCTTGCTTTTAAATTCTTGTAAACGAAATTATATAGTTCAATATAAGACCCAAGAGCGATAGTCTTCCATAGGCGTTGCAACAAGCTTGGCTTGCTTGGAAGCATTTCTATCATTTTCTGTCCTTCAGACCAATTTAAAACCCACCACAGGCGGATTCTCTCAATGCTGGCGGCATATGGATTATTAAATCCATATGTGGTTGGGAGATTCTCAACGCCGCTATAATCAAAAGCAGAGTATTTTCGGGTTGTTATTTTTACTTTAATTGGTCTGTTGAGCTTAAGAATTGCTTGTTGATCATTATGGGCTGGGTTCTTGGCTTCGTTATGCTGGCTGTTAATTCTGAGATTGTCAAGTATTGGGGTTAGGAGGCAATTACCTTGTTGACCCGGAATGGTCCTTGCATCTTGGTCATTATTGTTAAAACCCGTTAAGCTATAGTTGTAGTTGTGTACAATTGCAGCAGGAAGCTCCTGGGTTGCAGGTTCCTGAGCTTTTTGGTCTTTATATACTTGTTGACTTAGACAGGAGTCTATTCTTTCATTTAGTTTGTTGATTAGGCTGGCTTGTGTAGCCATATTCTGGTCGATATATTCCTTTATTGTACTAATTATTGCCTTTGATGTCTCCTGACATGCCGCGTCTATGTATGCCCTTGTGTTGTCATCTATACTGGACAGATCGATGTTCTTAAATGTGCTGTTGCTGCTTGTTGTACTAGAGAAGATTGGATTTGCTGTGTCCTTGCTTATTATTAACAGAAATTTGTCATTCTCGTATGGTTGGAGAAAGAGCTGTTTCTCAGTGGCAGGGTTATTTATATGCATTCGGGTGGCTTGTTCTGTGCTTGTATTACCATATGTGATTGGTTGTACTAAAGCATCACATGTAGAATTGGGGCGTAAATCATGCTTTCCTTATTTTTC